GCCCGGGCGGAGGCGAGCCAGACGCCAGGTGCGGGGCCGGCGACAGGTTGTTGAGACGCCGCGTGGGCGACGACTCACGCGACGCGTACACCATCTCTCTCTGCGGAAGACACCCCAGGATCCCACGGACGGGTCACAAAGGGGTCCCTGCCACTTGCTTCCACCATCCCCAGGAAGTCCCGCCCGTTTTTGTCGCATCCCGGACCCCTTTCCATCAGGGTTCCCAGGATGGGGGACAGTGGCAGCTGGAGAGCATGGACAGGTGCCACCCTTAACCCACGCCATGGTGGGCGGGCAAGGGGAAGGGGCGGCTCAAAGACGGGCCTGTTGGCGAACTTCGGGTGGGCGCGCTGCCACCAGCGAAGGGGAACGGGAAGGGCTCCCGCAGGACCCCACAGTTAGCCTCGCTCCTTACCTCCCTTCTCCAGGTCCCTGACATCCTCCTGCACTCCATCTGCGGGGATCCACCCACCCAGTCTCCCCAGTGCCCCGGGCATCCCGGCTGTACCCGGAGGTCCCCGTTGGTGAGGTGGGATCCGGGGAAAGCAGCGTATAGCGGCTCCTTCCTGTAGATCTTGATAATACTGCGGTCTTGGATGTCCCTGGGGGGGTACAGAGGGTCATCGTGTGTCCCCCAGCCTGCACAAGGGGGAGGGGGAGGACCTCCAACCCCTTCCTAAGTCCTTTGCGCTGCCAGCCACGCCCTGCACACAGCAGCCCCACCTACCCCCACCCGGCTGTTTTCCGGTTGGCCTGGGCGAGGGAGGGAACCCGCTAGGGCAGGAGGGTTAGAGAGGGAGGAGGGGAAGGGGAGGCCGCGCCCACCGAACGTCCTCCAGCTCGTAGAAGACGTTGCGCGCCTCGTCCTTGATGAGGATGGCGGTGTTGGGCGACTTGAGCATGCCCATGGTGAGCTTCTGCGGGAACATGTGCGCGATGAGCGCGTGCAGCGTGTCCAGGCTGCTGACCTCGTGCGTGATGTGCACGCGCCGCGTCTCCTCCCCGAACTGCAGGAACAGCACCCCTGCGGAAGACACCCGGGGCTGGCTGTCACGGCCGCCGCCGCGCC